CACCAACCAGGTGAAGGGGCAGGGTCTCAAGGGACTAGGGACACCTATCACATGACGCCTTGGTGGTATGTTAGCCTGATTGACAGGGCACACTCAGCGAGGGGCGAGGGGGAAGGGAGAAGGTAAAACAGGATATTGCAACACACCACAACAACACCTGGATTCTACAACTCTGCACTAAAACACTGAAATCTGTACTAAATGGTAAAGCAGAGTTGGTAAAATGGTAATACTTAACCTCATCTTTTCACTATTTTGATATGTTAAAAGCCTTTAAATTTAAGTTTTATCTGTTGTCTGTGGTTTAGGTGCAGCTCAAGATTCTGTATGAAAACTGTTGTGTTCTTAATGTTGTGTAAAATGGCAACACATTTTTTTGTATTTGCCAGAGACCTAGCAGTCATACTTTGAAATTTCATTTCATTTTTGAATTGGATAAAGTTCCTTTGAAAATTCCTACTGAAATACCCTTGTTTTTAATAAACTGCACAACACATAGAGGTAGCTTTTAGATTTTTTAAACCTCCAAATGAAATAATGGTTTAAGATAAATAAAGAGGTCAATTCAAATCTTTTATTTCAAGCTCACCATAATATAAGAGAACAAGAATGTACTGATTTACAGTTTATTCCTATTTTCCAACATCTGTGACAAATAATGACTTTTGTTACAAAAGCAGATTTTGAAACATGACTTCTCAGCAATAGAGCTTTGCCAGAAAATTTTTGGACTTGCTAATAGAAAAAAATACATAAATCCTGGCAATTACCATCTAGTGCAGAGGGATAGTGCCTACTTGACCAAGTACATATATGTTCTATGCCCCTTCAGTCTCCCTGCTTCTAACTGACCCACTATTCCATCTCAGGCTCATTTAATACTTCAGAAATTCCAAGAACCTTCAGATATCTGACAATAAATAGATGGCTGTTTAAAAAACTTTGAGAAAGTTGCAGTATCCTATCATTATTACTAGCAAGTAGAAAGGTAGAGTTTTTTTTGAAGATAAATTGACTTGCAGAATTCCTTAAGGAAAAGAATTTAATATTGGGATCCCTGAAATACATATATCCAGCCTATATAGCTGTTTTCTTTTTTTCTCCCTTCCCTTCCCTTCTCTTCTATAGCTGTGATTTTAAAAAAATATTTAAATAAAAGTATACTTTTTAAAAAAAAATGGTGCAACAAATAATTTCATTTATTTTTGTCCAATGGAACTTCTTTTCCCTGTCTTATTGTAGTCAGGGAGGAACTGCTACAGGTGTTGGGGTAGGAAATGCATCCTACCCCAAGCACACAACCTATTGTTGATGTATTGAAAAAGTTCCTCAGAGGTAAAGAAAATAAAGTGGAGCCAGACAAACTTCAACTACATAATAATAATGAACTGTTGCAAGAAATAATCAGTCAAAATGCATGGACTTGCACAATATTTGTGCTGACAGAGTGAAGGATTTGTTTGTACAAAAAGTACAGGAAACAGACTGTAAATTGTCTCATTATCTGGTCAGCCCAAGGTACATAATTACATTATAACAACTAAAATTCTTTCCCACTTGAAATAAATAGCAAAGCTATTGTGGATTTTGAAGTAGTTGGGACCTACATTTACTGATTTTAGCATTATGACTCCAGCTTGGAGTGTATTGTTTCAGAAATGCATCTCTCTCTACAAATGTAACCCAACACATTGAGACTTTAAAGGTTTAATGCAAGCAGCCATGGCCATGCTTCCTGTCACTGACATCTTTTCATAAAAATCCTTTCTTTAGGATTTTTCCTTCTGGGAAGCTGAGGCCCCAGAAAAAGAATGCAAACAATGGTTATCTGCTGCTGTGGAATGCAACAGGTGCACCTCTGATTGGCCCATGTTGGATGTTTACAATTAAGGGCCAATCAAAGACCGAGCTCTCTCTGGGACAGAATCAGAGAGAGCTCCTTTATTATTCATTCCTTTTCTATTCTTAGCTTAGCTAGCTTCTGAGAACTTTCTCTCTATTTCTTTTTAGCATAGTTGTAATGTAATGTATATATATAAAATAAAATAATAAATCAAACCTTCTGAACATGAAGTCAACATTCTCGTCTCTCTCTTCACCCTGCAACCCTTGCATGCCCTGTAACAGCTTCCAACACAAGTCCATACTGCCAGTACCCACCTCGTCAGCCTCTCGATGGTCTGCACGTGGACACTGCAGTGAGTCTGTGCGAGAATGGCCTCGTGCTGGGCACAGTTCAGGCACAGACCACCAACCTGGCCAGAATTCCTGGCTGCAAACAGGGACTTCTGGTGTTTCAGCCTTCCTTCCAAATCTTTGCATGTCTTCTGAGATTCTGAAAGGTCTTTTCTAGAAAGAAGAAATTTGTGAAATTAGATATTTCTACAAGTCATATTCATATACAATATATAACTACAAATGCAACCTCAAAAGAACTGTAAGAATCCCTGTAATGAACAGTATTTTACACATTTTCAAGAGGCTAAGGAAGACTTTAACAGAGAAGTAACAGTTGAACTGCCCAATCAAAAATATTAATAGACCAAACAATACTGTGTTAATTTGTTTCTTTCCCCATATTATCAGAAAATATTGAACTTAAACAGAAATTTATTAGAGGAAAAAACCTGTAGGCTTACATTTTGTCTGAACAGAATATAATATTAATTATTAGGAAAAAAAATCAGCTGTATAAATATTTCAATACTCTAACAATTTCCTGTTGCTTTTATTAATAGTACCACTAACTTCATATTTATTCTCTACTCCCTAGACAAGAAATCAGCACATTCACTCAGATCCAGCAATATACACAACCTTTTGAGGTCAAACACATGTGCAGAAAAACAGGCTAAGTTTTTTACTTGTCTTCCAAATTTTTACCAGGTGCTCAGAAGCATTTTCTCCAGAATTTCCAAGCATGTGTCATGCTGGGGAGATCGCAAGCAATAGGAATGTTAACATCAGGAAGTTCCAGACAAACGCACACTGTGCACATATAGATCAATTTGACAAATTGTGCAATGAATCCAAAGCTTTGGGTTTGTTATGCAGGCCATCTGGGCAGCACACACTCAGGAAGTCTGACACATTCTGCTTGCATTGGATTTACTGTGCACATGATATATACACTGCGTGCATTCTTATTTCCATCTGGAAAATCTTCTGTGCACTTTTTCCAATTTTAGTACTTGGTCTATTACATATAACCCACTATAACCTGAACAGAATTTGCTCTGCATATATCCTTACACAGTCGTGGTGCAACAAACCTATTGTTGCAAAGTTTTGGACAGAAATCAGCAAGTTCTGTGTATACTCATCCTTGAAGTTAAAAGGGAAGAAAGAATTATATCACTGAAAGCAATATAATTTCTCACTTCAATAAAATTTAGTTTTGCAGAACTTCCTGTTTGCAAGATCATGCCTCTTAGGAGAAATCAGAGGCTGAATAATGTACTTAAGGAACTTCTGAGACAATCCCCAACAATTACTTTTGAGTAAATATAACACTTGAGGCCAAGGGGGAAAAAAAATTGGATCATGACAGCTGAAATTAAAGATCCTCCTTTACCTTCACTAAGACAACTGGCTTTGTATGTTGCTGGTTTCATCAAAGCATTCTTTTAACCTGTCTCCCTACCAATAACTCTTTTTACACACAGAACAGTCTAGCATTTTCAAAAATATGAAACCACAATTTATTGAGGGAAAAACATGATTAAACAGTAGTGGAAAGTAGCTAATTATGGAAGCTGTCACACAAGATAAAATTGTAACCTCTCTCTTTTCTTTGAATGGTCTATCTTACATGACCTTTCTTAGGGGAAAGAGGGTAAAAAAGATAAGAAGTTTTATATATATATATATGTATATAAAAAAGAGAAGATATTTTATATATATGTATATATATGAGTGCGTATATATATATATATGTGCTACTGTTTCTATAAAGAAGCAGTACATTCAATTTTGCTACATCAATATTTGAGAGAATTTAATAGAAAACCAGTTTTTAGGGATACTATTAGAAGACAACATTCAGACATCCAGGCATTCTCTTAGTTAAATTCAGATTAAGAGTGATTCATGCTGTTATGCAGTGACAATTTTTTAAGGATTATTTTAGGAAAAAAAATTAACTTTACCTTAGAGACTGTATTTGATCATCAAGGATATTGACTTTTTCTTGATAAAGAAGTTTTAGATTCTCCTTTAGAAAAGATGGGAGAAGATATGTCTTACTTTCTTCATAACAGTCTTTACAAATAAACCTAGACTTTACCCACATTCTTTTTCCCTGAGGACATAAACCTGCTGAAATACTAGTGGCAGAGAAACCTAAATATTTCACTTTTCTGGAAGTCTAAAAAGTGAACAACCCTCCCATTTTTTTGTTTCTAAATAAGGTTTTTTTGCCAGATCGTCATATGGTAAATTGTTTCAATTCCAACTGCATTCCTCAGTTCTCTACAATGATTCACAGAAACTGATAATCGTGTCTCGAGTTTGCTCTTTCTTTTCCACAAGTCAGCAGATATTAATACAAAATTATTAAGAACTTCAGTTACACAGGCTATTTATTTATAATGCAGTGAGTTTACTCTTCATATACCTGGTGAAGAACTAGGTATATGAATCAACCACACCCATGTTAAATACAATGGTGATAACAAAACCATTGTACAAACACTACAAATTTAGCTCACTATGACACTACGTACAAAGTTACAATCAACATGATTCTCCTGATTTAAATGTGGCAGATGAAGAAAAAAGCAATTACTGTAAAACACTTCTTCCAAACAACTGCAGGCATCAGTGATCACTGAGGTCTTCAGCTATAAAATAATAGTATAAAAAACCCCAAAAACGATATATTTATATGAAAAAACCCTCGAATCCCATATAATTGAAGTACTGTATAAATTCCACAGTACACAAATGCACATGAATAAAACATATCAAAATTTTTCAATTAGCCAGGTTTTTCCCAAAAGATAGCAAAACTACCCCACTACTTCAGAACAAAATGAAAATGAATATCCTCTGAAACTAAAAATACAGGAAGAAACAACATCATCTCTAAATTACTAGGCCTCCTCTGTATCTCTAAAAGCACCAAGTGTGTAATTCATCTTAGGGAAAGCAGATTGCATAAAACTACTTTTGTACCTTACTGAACCTGTACTGCTCCAGGAGCAGAACAACTCATTATGAAAAGAGCTTGTGTGGAGGGCTACATAAATTACACCAGCTAGTTCCCACCTGCTTGGGTGCTGTGTTACACCTAAGATTCCCCCAAGCACAGTGAAGTCATCATCTTTGAACAAGAATTATCTCTGGGAAGTCATCATCTGCAGATAAAACCTGCCATCTGTGTCTAACTGCACAATAATATTAATTAGGATATAATGAGAAGATGACGTTTAAGAGAATAAAATTTGGGCTCAGATTAAGGTTCAATCAACTAAGACTTCTGTGTCTGTTGAAAGCTAATCATCAGAACTGGAACAACAACAACAACAATCCTGAAGAGTTTTGCAAAGGTAGGAGTCTGTGAAGGAAGGTGATACCAACCAGTTCTATGGGCCATCTGGCTTTGTCTCCAGAAGCTGGTGCCACAAAAGCCTGATCTTTGTTATGTGTCAGTGAGGAGGTGACAGGCTGGTGGGTGCTGCAGCCTTTACCACCTACAGGCCAGGATTTCTGAGTATTGGCCTAAAATGAAAGTATTAATGCTTTAGTTACGATTATGCAGGCTGTTTTTTTAAACAAATTTCCTTACTTAAGTATTGAACCTTATAATCTTCAGTAGAATATAAGAACCAATAAACAATATTCATAGAACATAAGAACCAATAAACAATATTCATTATATTCTACTGAACAATCCTCAGTAGAATATAAGAAACAATAAACAATTTAATTAGGTTAGCAACCTATGAAAATTATGTTACCCAAGGAAATCCATATTTACAAATTCTCATTAAATTTTGACTAAAATTCCATTTGCAGACAACCATTTGTATACCCTTCCATAAAAATAATCTGGCCAGATGCTTGAGCACTGATTAAAGCAACAAAAAAAACCAACTTACTGAGGCATCAAGAAGAGTTTGTTCTCTCAACATGTATTCTGCAGTTAAGAATTTCAGCTTCTGATGGAGTTCCTCATTTTCAAGTAAAACTGACTGTTCTTGATCTTTTACCCCACACAACTCCTCCTATAGGATGAAGGTATTGCATTTAAAAGGTTCTTTAAGATGGCTATCAATATTGAAATGCATCTTGAGACCAAGGCATCTAGATGAACATTTTCAAAAGTTTGAACCCTTTTAGAGAGACTAAGAATTTGCAAAAGAGAGATTTTGTATTTTTGCAGCTTATACTGTTGTAAATCTTCTTTAAAAAAATGCTTATTTGTATTTGTGACAGGATGTAAAAATGTCTTTAAAGACCCTTAAAAATACCAGATACCAAGAGACAGGGTAAGGAATCTACTGAACTGCATTTGGCTCAGTTTTGGTCATTACAGCAATCGACCTCAAATTTAAATGTAAGCTGCTTTTAATGCAGTTCATCACATTTGGGGGACTAGGGTTTTAGCAGGTCAAGTAAGTTATCTGATACCTTGTAAAACTTCACTTCTGCTTCCAAATGTTTAATGTACTGTGACTGATCAGAGATTATAGGAACAAGATCGAAAAGGGCTGGTAGGTCTGCAGGCACAGCTTCTGGGGGCTTCTGAAGGAGGTAAAGAACAGCATGTGTTATGTTCTGATTTTCCATTGTTGCAGTAAGACCTTGCTTGCACACAGAATACAACCTACAGTTTTCTGGTAAGGCTTCAAAATGCGCCCAGAATTGTTAATGGAGTCTTCTCCATTGACACTAGTTCACACTTCTGAAGGAAAACAAGTATCTTTATGCATATCCCTATTTTTGAAACACACAACACACACAATCCTAACACCTATGATTTTGGGTCACAAACATGCCTTTTTGTGCAAAAATATTCCATATTGTATTTCCAAATATAATTGAAATCTAAAAGAGATCAAAGATTCAGACAGTTACATCCTTGTTTTTAAATATTACTTTTGAAATATTCACCATTGAAAAAAAAAACCAAAAAAAAAAAAACAAACCAAAAACCAAAACCTCCACAAAGCAAAATGAAAAAAAAAAAAAGCAAACCTAGTTACTAATGGCTATTACATGTACTAGTTATCTTATCTACAGGTTCTGCCAACAATGCATTAAAATTCCGTGTCCGATCCTTCTAAAGGTATAATCCTTAAATTAGGATGAGGTGAAAGTTTCTAGCAACAAAAACCTTACAATCTTACAATCCAATTATACCAAATACAAGTATTGGCTTATAAAGAGGGGGAAACTCTTGAGATATCTGGAACCAGGATTGCAGAGACAAATGGAGGATACCCAGAACTATCTGAAAAAACATCCCTTTAGAGAAGGAATTCCAAATTTGCCACATATTCTGCCTAGCTCAGTAGACATAAGCTCCATGTTCTGTTGACTCAGAATTCATCCTGATTTAAATTCTTAATCCTAACTCTTTTATAAATTAAAACAAAAAAGGAACCACACTAGGTAAAGTATATATAATATAGCCTTGATAATATTTGTAAGTCATCTGTTTCTCTGGCTCCTATTCATCCATCCCTCTTCTCTGAAAATGTAATGAACACCTTGCAGCTGAGACCTCCAGCTGCCTCCCTGACAAGGTTACACCACAGCAATTTTAGAAAAATGTGGAAAAACTCCATTTCTATTCAAATTATTTTTCACTGAAAAACAGTTCTAATGTTTAAACTGAGAAACATCACTGTAATGTAAACAATAGTGCTAAGGTATTTTTCACTAAAAAGAAAATAACAGGTAGTATATTTTCTCAACACAAAAAGATCTCTGTGACTTTTTTTTTACCTTTTTAACAACATAATTGTTATAAACTGATTGTAAATTGATTTGGAATTTTTTAATTAATGTTCTCACAATAACATGTAAGATGGTGAAAGAACAGAGGTCATAAGAGGCATGATTTTAAATCTGGCCAACTATTAAAATCAGAACTGAAAGACACATCTGATCAGTATGAATTACTAAACAATTATGCCTGAGTCTTGGAAATGCTGTTCACACTGAAATACTTAATACCAAAAAGGATTTTTAAAATATAAATGCTTAGCAGCTCTAGAAGCCAGCATTCAGCATGGTGACAAAGAGTTTTGCCAACATCACAAATAATTTAGCCCACTTTGTACTTTTCCAGAATGTCTCAAATCTCAAGCATCTAAACCACAGAATTACAGAAACTCTGCCATCCTATAAACTGTCAGGAGACAAGAGGAATCCATCACATCTCCAGCTATAAGAACAGTGTCAGGAACAGAGGTTGGGTGCAGCTAGGTTAGCCAAAACCCAGCTTGCAGAGCTGCAGTTGTTATATGAAGCAATCTTGCTGGGCCTTGACCTCACGTGATAAAGCGTAGGGCAAAAGGAAAATTTCTGCACAACCATCTGGGTGTAATCAAAGAAAGGATTTAATAATTTGGTGTCTATTGCAACTTTAATCTATGGGAAAGAAAAGCTAATTTTGTCACAACAATATCATTTATATGTATGAATTGTGGTAAAGGTTACTAAAGTTTGTGTGAAATGTTGTATTTAGCTGTAGATCCTGCAGTCATTTCCTATTCAGCAGTCATTGGGTATTTCAGCATCACTCAAAGCAAAAGGTTAAGGTTACTCATAATCTAAGTTTGCTTTCCTCAACCTTTGGGAAATTGGATTCTTCTTATACAAGAAGCATTTCTGCAGTGTCCAGTAAATCACTGGACAAGCTCATATTTTATAAGGGCTTGGGCTTATTTTTGGCGTGTGTGCACATTTGCAGTTCGACATTTTTTTGAGCTTTACACGTGGTTGCCTTCAGAACACTTTCATGTCCTCAAGCAGATGGAGGACAGCTGCAAAGGAAAGTAAAGGCACCACTTCACAGAATATCTCTCACTGGAAACTTCAAGAGGAAAAAATGGGGCAGTACTGTACCAATACAGTAAATTCCCTTGTTTTTTCTCTGTTTATTCCTTCATTCTTTGATCCTCTCCCTGAAAGTATTATCCCAAGTTTCTAAACAGTATGGATAAAAGAAAAATTATAAAAGTATTTAGAAAATGGATAAAAGTATTCCATTTTCTAAATTCTCCACTCTAGTAAAGCTTACCAATATGAATAGAAAACTTCACCAAAGATGGAATAAAAGATTCTTTCCCTCCCTTCCAAGGCTAAATACAAACTGATACCAATTCAGGTCATGCCAAAGTCATCCAATGATCCATCAATCCCTTGAGCTACAAAACACTCTTTCCTATGCCATTATGAGGCAAAATGCCTGGCAGGACAACCATACTAAACTTGTGGATCTTAGAATACTCAAAGTTAACTTTAAATAAAATTCCTTAACATCAGCACAGCAGAGCTATGCTCATTACACAGGCTGAAAGCAGCACAGCAGGAATACAGCTTTTAGATTATTCTGCTGTTAACTTTGACAGCAAAGAGCTGCTTGTCTTGCTTAGTATAAGCCAAAAATATTCAGTGTAGGCCATCAAAAGATAAAACTGCAGCAGTGCCTTTGAATTCTTTTTCTGTGAAGATTCTAGCAACTCTCAGCTGCTCTGTAACTAACAGTGCATCACATGTACTGTGGTGCAGTTCTGCTTCAATGAAGCAGCATCTGAGAAGCCCTTGTAAGGGGCTCCTTGTAAGGTTTACTCCTTGTAAGGGAGTAAACAAACTTTGACAGAGACCCCTGCATTTTGGCAGAGAACTACAAAACCTGCTTTTGCATGAACGTCTCTAACTCTATAAAGAAAAAGTGTAGTTAAAGCGTAAGAAGGACACTGAGAATCCTTAAGGTTCAGTCAAAGCAAAAAAGAGGCTGATTTTTCAGAAATTTTTCCTTGTTGTCTATCCCAAGTGTTTTCAAAACAAAAAGGATGGATGACCACACTACATGGTCAACAAAAAGAGGAGAAAAGTATAAACCCTGTATTATAGATTCCTTTTTCTTCCATTATGGTCATAAGGATGCTAAGTTTTGGTTATAGCCTCAGGAAGCTCCCATATTTAAGACTGTTAAAATGATTCCTTTTTTTCTCTTTATACTATAAAATCAACATGCATACAATTTATTCAAACAACACAAGTTAAACCAGAAAAACATACATGGAATGAATTCTTCCTTCTTGAGGGAGATTCTTCGCTTTCCATTCTTTCTTGTTGTTGCAACAAAATTTTAAGTTGGTTAACTAGGAAGAGATAACAACCATTAAAACCAATAAATAATTAGTTTTTTCATTGAAATTAGTATAGCTTCTAACAATGTTTAAACCATTTGCTTTCAGAGCAATCTTACCTGCATGACTGTGCTGGAGTTCCTGACTGGCTGCAGTCCCACAGTCGTCACTGGCCCTGTCTGCATTGTCACTGTCCTCATCCACAGAGGAGTGGTCAAATCCAGTGCCATCACCTTTTGCCAAGGCATGTTTCAGTTGAGAGATGCTCTCACTGGCACGCTCTAAAAAAAACCCAACCACATCATTAGCCACAAGAAACAACAAAAAAGAAAGGATTTACTGGCTATTATTTTAAATGGGAAAAAAACACAAGAGAACTACAAGCATTCAGCATGTGTCTGGCTTGACTACTTGACCTAAGCTCATCCACTGGAAGCAATTATCTAATGCAAACAGCCAAAAAACCTATGTAAACACTATTTTTCCAGAGAAGAGCTAAACATAGCATCTTAGCCCCTCAATACATTAGGACTCTGCAGCAGCACAAGTAATAATATACTTGACTCTAAAATATTTCCTAGCATATGCACCTTCCATACTTTTCAATGAACCTAAAGCTCATGCTATATTTTCTACAATATGCAGGATTGGAAACCAAGAAAAATGTTTTTGCATTTTAGTGATGCCACCACACATTATTACAAAGCAACATATCACACAATGAAACAAATATCTGAGTAAATAAAGTAATAACTCAGAAAACCAAGCCACCATAAAATAGTTATTAAAGACCAATCACTTCTGAACAGCATGAAAAATAAATAACAACACACACTATTCTAGAAAAACCACCCAACAAACACAACAGAAAACCTCTATCCACATAAATATAAATATTTTCAAGAACTGACTTACTGATAGATGATACAATAAAGGTCTTATCTAATGTTCAATATATTTTTTCCTTGTATTCTTTTCTAAATTTTTTCTTGGATTCAGCTGACTTCACAAAAATCATAAGCATATTTTAAACAGTCAAAATTTAGTAAAACAAACCCAAATACCATTTACAAGGCAATGACTCAGAAAAGAAGGGTTTAGGTCAAATATTTCACTTTTGGCATACTTAAGCTCTTCTTCCTTTCTTGAGCATTCCAGGATGCTATGAGGGCGGAAGAGCTAATTGAGAAATGGCAGAAGTATCGCACTGATGCAATGGCTTAGATATTTAGCAAACTATGTTGCAATAATTTTTTTGTCAAGAAGTGTTCAATGTCATTTAAGTTGTCATGTGGTGTGTCATCTGAGACCATTAAAGTTCCTGCATTTCCCATTCCCTGCAGATGTCTGCCAGAGAACCCCTGAGTACCAGTATTTGCTCTCCTGCCAAGGGACAAACAACAGAACAATCCAGAACCAACCAAGCCCATATAAACTGGTTTTCCCAGAACTTCTCTCTCTTTGTAGTATTACAGCTTCTGAACTCCAAGCTATTGCTTCATCCACAAAGATAACAGAGATCTTCTTGCACTCTGTCCTCTTTCCCCATAAACATACAGGCCAGTAGTAGTGAAACACAATAAAACCATTATCAATGGCACACTGATGCCAATTTTTTTTATGACAACACTTTCCTGCCTCTGAAATAATGTCGCCATATTCTGGAAAGCGTCATCAAATACTTCCTTAAATTTCTTACAATCTTGCCTATTTCCAGATTACTAATGTTGCTGTCATAGAAAAAACACTCTCCACTGGGGAATTGGGAATTAGGAGATCCCAGTGGTGTGGCATTACATGTGTGGCTTTACACAATGGCATGTGTGTCATTCACCACATGCAAGAGGATCCAACACCTACTTCAGTAAGAGTAGTAAGAGTTGAACTGGATGCTTAAACGGGAATAAATACATTACAGTATTTTTTTTATTTCCAAAGTAAGGAACATAATTTTGGGCATTAGGATAAAAGACAGTATACCAAGAAGTGGAAAGACTATGTTTGTTGTTTCTTACAATGTAAAAATATTCTTTTTAAATAGAAAAGAAATTTTTAAAAAACCACTGTGGATGCGAACTACAGGACAACAAAGAACATGATTAATTTTTTAATGAATTCAGAAGCAATTAATTTTTAAGTCTCTCCAATTCCATCTAACTGTTTCAGTTAAGCTACTCCTGTAATAGTATATTTTATAGAAACATGGCCTCAAGTGAAAACATACTTCAAAACCTGCTCACATGCAGCACTATGATTTGCATATCAAAATCAATCAGCACCTGTCTTTTCGATGTCTGAACAAGACCCTACAAATAAAATCCAAACATGTATTCCTGTTCTATGCTAAAACATCATTGAAGTGCTATTTCCTATTGGAACAGCTGATGATATAATTGAATTTGGACTCATATGGATTGAAACTTCAAAAAAAAAACCAAAACAAATTGCTATTAAGCCCTTTGGTTTTCAGTGTTCAAAGGATCTGAGATGATTAGGAAAAATGACAAGCTAGCACCCAAATCTGATGGATCAAACTCAATACATTAAAAAAGAAAAATCAGTGTAACAACAATTTGACAGGAAAACAATCCAGACGGCATTGAGTCAGTTAGCATTGCCTAAACAAGAGATGTTTTCTCAGGCACTGACTGCACAGAGCTCTTTTTTTAAAGAGTACTCCTTTAAATGAAAGCACCAAAGCTACCTCATTCATGCCTCGGAAATGCCATAGAAAATACTCTGGGAGCAAAAGAATCAATCATCCAAAACAACAGAATTGCCTGAAAGACATGGAAAATAACTCCAGCTGGTAGAACCATTAAGCAGCATAAATTGAAGAAAACAAATGGCAACTCTATGAAAAAGTTGTCACCCAAACCTAACAGTCCGGTTCTAATAACGCCTACAAGAACATGAAGTTACTGGCTATAAAGTCAACAAAAAGCATCACTTCCCATTATGGTTCCCAATCAGCAAACAGCTTAGAAAATTAGAGAAGGAATTACACTGATTCTTTAGGTCTTAAAAAACCCTGCAGAATTTTTGTGAAACAGTAACTGACAAAACAGACAATTAGACACACTAGTGAAAGCAGAAAGATTATAGACATTTAAAGAAAACTTTCCTGTCCAAAATAAGATCAACATTTGCTTCCATTGACAGCTAAAAACCTAAAATATTATACCATATATCTTTTCAGTCAAGTAAGTGCTGAAAAATATGGAAACTGAGAATTTGGTTATAGGGTTTTTTGTATTTAGCACATCTTGGAACTTTACTTCCCATTCTGACATCCAGCTCTTCTTCTTTCTTGGCTGCTAAACACAGGCATGTTACTGTGGAAGTAACACACTATATGGCAGTTTTGAGACTAAAAGTATCTTGTCTATCACTACCTGCTGCTAGGATTTTACACACAGCAATGAGCAATACCAGGCTGTTTATTAGTCAGGCCTCAGAATATCCCAAGATGTGTGAAATGCTGTTCCCAAATAATAAATCCTTCTGATTTAGTTTCTTGGTCTCTTTTTTTATGAGAAATAGATATTTTTCAGCATAACTTTAACCAAGTTATCATCTTTAAAAGCACAGCTGCAGTAGTCATTTTCACAAGTTCCTATACCAGGCCTTTCTGCAGAGCATTAAGTATTTGCCTAAGTTCTAGAAACTCTCACATGTGAAAACCTCATTGCCAAGTTCCTTGTGGCAGATTCCCCACCTTTAAAAGCACATTTTATATTCAGAAGAATGCCTAGAAACATCTGCCAAATAAAAATAAAAGGCCTAAGCAAAAAAACATTAAGAATGTAATTCTAAGCTGCTTCAGTGTGACAGCTAACTTGTAGTGATGGAAACTGGGCCACATACTCACTTTTCCTAAGATGGCTTTGACTTCCCATCTCTCCTGTTTTATTTTTGGAACCATATAAAACAGCCATAAAATGCAACTTTATTCAGAAAAATCTTATCTTGTCATCTGTTTTTCTTAGGGTTTCATCTCCATTCTCTGAAATTATGTAGGACACTGCACTCAGCAATGCAGTGGAATACAGAATGTATTTTCCACAATATCCTAAGACAGACTTGAGGTAGACAAGTGTATCAGGCTCAGTAACAATCCTAAAAAGGATTGTTTGCCCCTCCTGTGCTCCTGCTCTTTCACTGTCTCGGGTCCAACAGTGAGCCAGTGCTCTTTACTGAAGAGGCAGAAAACTCAACATAAAAAAATATGAGCTGATAGTTCTCTGTTCAAGAAACCAGAAATATGCTCAAAACAAAGAACTGGACTCTACATAGTCTTCTCAACTTACTACTGTTAGGATAACAAGGGAAAGTCACAGGAAGGCATCATGCTCTGCCCTTGGCAGTGGTGCAGTAGAAGGCCCATTGGACATTCACATTATGCCTGTCAATTTTCAGTTATTAATATGAATACAGCAGCTCACCACTTATTTACAAAATACTTCTACTCCCTTGAGAACTTCTTATTAGAAATATTATCTCCTAAAGTTTTTAAGGTACATTTGAAATCATCTCAATTATATGTAAGTTTACACAGTAACCTAATAACCCCAACTGTACAAATACCATACTCTTAACTTAGTACTACACATAGCATTAAAGACTTTCATTATACAAGGTCAGGAAAAGCTACATTATAGAACCTCTGTTACTTATCAAAACCTCTCTGTTGAGCTCTAAGGCCACCAGACTCAGTTTACTGAACACTCAGGCTCCCTGTCTGCTGAGGCATTTCATTTTGCAATAAAGGACACTGCACTGAAATAATCAGTTGGTCTTTGAGAACTTAAGCACCTTTCCATCAAACTGAGTAAGGCTGTAAAGTGATTCTTCTGGTGTCCAGCATGGGTGGAGAAAATCTGTTGCCATGAGCTCAGCCTGCCTCCAGATAATGTTAAGCATTACAGGCAGGTTAAGAATACTGTTTTTCAAAACATTAAATAATGCCCAAAGCATGCCACCTAAAATTGCAGAATCTGGATGACAGGGTCATCCAATGGGGAGAAAAATCTCAAGCTGTATAACAATATAAGAGAAATAGGTAAAGCATTAGGTTTGACAATTTTGATGACCTATTTATCCTACAGTAAATTCCTAACACTGCTAGTAATGATGTGGGAAATGCTTTACAGCTCTAAGGAGTTAAAAATTGTACATCACTGAGAAAAAAAGAGGTTTTTTTACTTTGAGAAACACAATGAAATTTAGGTTATATTGCCCCTGTATTGGGGTTGTTTGTGCATCATCATATTTATTTCTTCATGAGAGGCGCCCTCAGATATATGAAATCAAAACTACCTTGGCATCGTATGAAAAGAAAATTATTGTTTCCAAGAATGTAATGGGGAAAGGCTCACCAGAAATTCAGGTTATGAAATTATTTAACAAATATAACAGATTCAGTGTAAGAGGATCCAGTCAGAAAAAGATAAAATGAAAATAAAATAAAATGTATGAAGGGAATACATGCATCCAGTGTATCCATTAGATATGGTCAGCTCTAACAGTCTCACACACAGTTAAACAGCCCTGATATTTGTCAGCCTAACTGTTCTGCAATGACTGTTACCTCCAAGTGTCAGGTAGCATTACCATGCCCATTTCATCTACAGGAAAAGTAAACAGGAATCATTCCTCAAAGTTCTATCTTGGAACAAAAGAAATCTATCGCTAATGTAACGAACTGACGCTGCTTCGAAAAGGAAGTAAAAAAATATTTGCTGAGAATCGAGTATCAAGTAGCTATTTGAAAATGTTTCCATTGTTTTATCCTTGTTTCTTTCTTCTTTTGGCTACGTTGTTTCCCATGGCACAGGAAACATCCCAACAGGCCGTGTGGGGGTGCTGTGCTCGGAACAGAACTTTTCGCACCAGGAGGTTCGCATACCCACAGACTATCCGCTGGCTTTCTTCAGAATCGCATAGCCACAAACCATCCGCTGGCTTTCTTCCGAATTCGGACATTTAGCTTGCCCAGCCAGTGACAGCCTGAAGGCAGGCAAGCCCAGGTGTCAGGGTGACAGGTTCAGGAGCTCTCTGTCGGGCTATACACCGCGCTTCTTGGACAAAGCGGCACGTATGAAACCACTCGCTGACACGGGAAACAACCACGCGCATCAGAATCCATTTGTACCCTGACTTTACCACAACTAGAATCCGATGGCCAAAACCCTCACACGAACCAGAACCGCCCCCGGAGCAGCAGCGGTCCTGCCCGAGCCGCGTTACGGTCAGACGCGAGCGTGTCACGGCAAGAACGGCGCCCGCCATCGGCTGTGGGGACAGCCCGACACAACTTCCCTGCTGCGCGCCCGTCCCAGCCCGGCCGGGGCGCTCCGCGGGGCGGGGGCAGCCACACACCCGGGCGCCCTCACCCCGCGCCCGTGCCGCTCACCTCGGAGGCGCCTCTGGTACCGCTCCAGGGACTCCTCCAGGGCGCGCTCCCCGCGGGGCTCCCGCATCGGGACGCCGCTGGCCGCCGGGGAGCAGCCGGCGCTGTGCGCCGGCACCGGGGGCTCCCCGCGGCGAGGCTGGGGGACGGTAGTTCCGCCCGTTCTACCTTCCCGCGTTGGGCTCTCGGAGGAGCCACCTGCGGGGATCTCTCCGGCTCCTGGTGGCCGACCGTTGCCGTCGGCCGCCGCAGCTGAGACTAGCCACGCCAGGAATCCGTCGCGCTTCCCGATGGCGGGAATGCCGCCGCCGGGACTACAAGTCCCGGCATGCACCGCGCCGGCGGAGGCAGAGTCCCCGCCCACCGCCCACCCCCGGCAACCGGGAAAGGGTGGTCGCCGCAACCCGTCTCCCCTTTGTTGTGGATCCCGGCCGCAGTCGCGCCTGCGCACATCACAGCCCGTCCGCCTACGCCCTCGGGCCTGCGGCGGGCTCAGCGCCGGTCCCGCCACGGCCGGGGCGGATCGGAGCGGGAAGCACCGTTTACCTCCCGCCATCGCCCGCGCGGGGAGCGCCCGCAGCCCCGGGGAGCGCTATTGTCTGCGGGCGGCGCAGGCGCACGCGGCCCCGCCGCCGCCGGGCCCCGGCGCGTGCGCAGAGCGGCGCGGTGCCGCGGTGCCGTTAGCCGCCGCTATGTGCAGGGAATAACGCCGGGGCCGTTGCCAGAGGGACACCGAGCGCTCCGCCCTCGCTCCCGCATCCCGCGGGATGCCGGCCCGCTGAGCACCCGCTAGCGACGGCCCCTCCCCGGCGCGCGAGCCTCCTCGGAGGGGTGAGTGAGGATGATGCTGCTGCCGCCGCCGCCCTGGGCTGCGGGTCGGGCGGGAGTCGTGGCGGGGAGAGGGGCCGCGGTCCGCCCGGTGCCTATTGTGTCCGGAGGTGCCCGCCCGCCGGGACCCGGGCGGGCTGCGGCCGGCGGAGGGGGAGGCAGCACGGTGTGGGCACAGCCCGCTCCCCCTCCCCCGTCCCCGCCGGGCCCGGAGCTGACTCCGCGCCCCCGCCTCCCTTTCCCCTCGCCTGCGCCGGGCCATCGCCGGTGCCGGGGGGCATCGCCTCAGGCGGGACGCCGGCGGCGTCCCACATCTGGCATTCGGTGCTGCCGGATCCCGCTGCCCGCGTCTCCCTGCCCCTTCGCGCCCGCGGGGCGCCCCCGGCACACCCACCCCTGGGGCTGCGCAGCCTCCCCTCCCGCGGGCGGATTTCCGCGGTTCCTGCGGAGACGTTTCCAGAGGTTTAATATTTTTTTTTGGGGTGACCTTCTTTCACTGCCTGCCCCGGGGCTGGAGGCAGCGTGTTTCTCCGGATTTAAAAATCAGTGACGTCCTTCGTCTGGGATGCGGCGTTTCCCCCATCTTCTAAAAATAACGTCTTCTGTGAAAGGGTGATGGAGAAAATCTGCGGGTTTCGCCTTTTCTCGTATTGCGTATTTCCAGCCGACGAGTCAGGTCTCCCTGCTTCCGAAAATATCCTCCCGAAGGCGTGAGCTTTTCCTTTTTCCAGGCGCTTCCCGGGAAAAACATGCAATCAGGGTTTTTGTCCCCGGCGGCGAGGAGCAGGCGGGCCCACTTTGTGCGCCCGCCGTGGGGACGAACGGGTTACTGCGCTAACAAAAACCCGATGGCGATTTTCGAGCAGAAAGCGGCGTCGGGCGGAGGAAGCGGCGGGAGGGGCGGAGCGGGGCGGGGGCGCGCCCCGGGGCAGCGGGGAAGGGAGCCGGGAGCCGGGCGGGCACGGCGAGCGCTGCCTGCCAGCCCCGCCGGCCGCCCTGTGCTGAGCGACTTTCCAGCACAAGCCGACAATTAGCCCATCAGTGCTCGCGGCTTGATGGAAATAAAAAAAAAAAAAAAAAAGAGATGTAGATGCGATGCTGATGAGTTGTGTGTACATAAGGATTGCGTTATTGTGACAGGAGATTAGATAGCATCCACTGATCTGCAGTTGGAGGAAATTATTTTCTTCCATGTGAAAGCAAAGGTACTCATAAAATATTTAAGTACTTTGAAAGAATAAAGCCTGTTCTAGCACTGCGATGATCATCTTTTCTCCTTTGGAATGCCATTCAATGCTTTGTGACAGCGTTTCTGGCCCTGGGCTTGCGTCTGCAAAATGATATGTGGGATGGGACAGTTTTTGTAAACTGAACGGAGGAGACATGATTACATATGCTGTGATTTCCTATGATTAATTTCCTCTAGGAATTACTTTGTGTCCAGATGCTGAGAAGTCTGTCTTGCTAAACTCTGCTGATATGGAAGCTCCTCAACTTTCAACGTTATTAAACGAGGAAAAAGTTAAACATAAACACTGCAAAGAATCTCACTTCATTCTTTGATTAACACTTTTTAAAACACTTTTTCACCTTCATGTAAATGTTCTGTTCTGGTTGGCTTTTTTTTCCTCCTTTGTCTGATAGAGGTTAGGAAGGCTGGCTGAATAGAGAGAGTAGTGCAGCTGGGGATACAAGGAATTTTGTCAAAATCTCAAGAATCTTGAAGTTATTTGGAATAGATCAGATTAATATGCTTTCTTTAATTCTTTTGAATTCTTTCTCTTCTTTTGAAGAGAAACCTTCTAAGTTGTTACCCAACTTCGGCATGACAGTGCATTGTTTGGGGAGTGGTTTTGACATATGACTATTTCCCATATCTAATCTGACTTTTGAAAAAAACAATGGTTTATTTCTGTATTGAGTTTCATCTGCTGTGATGGACTTGACAAGCAAAATTTCTTAAAAAGTCTGATGATAACATACAAGCCAGAAAAGCTCCAGCTTATGAAAATGGATTGGAAAAGTCTTATGTTGGTTGTAGGTGAGAGCTTGGAAACTTCGTTAAATACCTGGAACGAAACCCAAGGCATGAGAAGTTGCAGAAATGGATTTTGCAGTACCATTTCCAGTTCTTGGCATTGCAGGGAGAAGGTATTTAATGTGCATTGATACCATAGTATCTCCTTGATTCAGGACAGTTTCCATGTTAGCACCGCTTTTCTTAGCTTTGCAGGCAGAATGGAACTGAGACACAACAGATTGTTTTTACTTTAGCTAGAAAGCAAAGAAAAGCTGTGAAATTCTGGTTTTCCTTTAGAAAATTCTGAACTGAGGCATCAGATATGGAATATAGGAGATATGGCATATAGGAGGTTTTCCACAAGTAAATTCTCTCTGCTTCTAGCACTTGTGAGGTTGTAAAGGAACACAGTGGCACTTCCCTCTGTTTGAAGAATATGCATAATGTAGTAAAAATGGATTGTGTTGTGACCAAGAGACTGCAATTTGAGCAAAGGAAGTTGTTTGTGACTGAGGGATGGAGCTTCAAGTCTACTGGCTGGGAGCTGGGCTTGGATGTGTGCATCTCCTCTAAAATGCACATTTTCCCTGTGCTGATTGAGCCTGTGGGAGCCTTCCATTGTCTGTAGGTTTGTAACGCTCTCACCAAAGGCCTATGTGTCTTCCGTTCTAGTATTGATCCGTGTGTGTATCTGTGCATTTTCAAGGGACTGCTCTACTGAGAGCAGCTTCCTTCAGTGCTCCGTGCTGATGTTTCCCTGGGTCACAGTCCAGCTAGGGCACTCCATGGGGCAGCTGTCATGGGGAAAAGTAGTGTGTGATTAGGTGACTTCAGCTGTAACAGAAGGCATGCAAATAAGGGTGGGAAGAGAGTTGCTTAAACAACTTCATGTATGTCTGTTGAACAGTTATACATTCAAAAAAATACAAAAATAAATTGCAAATCTATTCTGTGGTTCAGTTTCTCTGACCCTACCACCAAAAAGCTGGGAGGCTGTCTTTGTTCTACAGGTGCATTTGTGGGTAGAGTGATCTTTTTAGTTAAAATTGTGTTTGACCTTCAAAAAACCCTTATATTTTAAATTGGTATGTATATAATTTTTTTCATATGTCAAAACCAGCTTGTCCTAGAGGTTTCAAATAAAAGCCAGAATCATATTTTAGTAGATTGCTAATGTAATTAGATTTCAGGTAGGGAGACCGGTGTTTGGGAATGTACTCAGTGCTGCATCACTGAAATTGAGGTGTGTTCTGCTGGCTCTTAGATTGTGGGGGAGAAGTAAGGGAGTGGGGTGGATATTAAAGAGGCTGGCTAGTTGTTCTCCTGTCTTCATGGCTCTGTGTGGAGATTCCCAGTCACTCCCTTCTCTTTGGGTTTGGTACAGCATGGCTGCCCTGCTTTGTTGCAGTGGCTCTGGTAGTTTGCAAAGTACATGAGAAGTTAATTCACTCTGCTAACCCAGGAGAACACTGTTTCTTTTCTTTTTGTTTTGCTCTTTTTTTTTTTCTCCTTCCTCCCTTGGATTAGCAAATTGAATTATCTTATTGTGTGGTCAGATGAGTGCCAGAGCAAGTACACAGAACGGGGTCAGCAGTGTCAAGCCAGAGAGAGGGGAATACTCATTTTTCCAGTAGCAAAGACAGATTTAATCTGCTTTACTGTCCTGTATGCCTGTCCCCTGCACCACTAAAGGCTGCTGTGGTCAGACAGGAGGTGGGTTATGTATTAATCCAAGAAAACAAAAAATTAAGATACTGGGTTTGTTCTGTTAGTCTTTATTTGGGGTCCTTGATATGTAAAATGTTCACAGCCACAGACTAAACATTCAGAACCTATCTCTGGAAGAAAAAAAAATTTCTCTGGAAAGTAAATGTAAAAAAAGGAAGGACGAGTAGTTCTGTTAAGCATTGTGGCCTTTGTACTAGGATGAGCAGAATTTTTGGTCCAGGCTAATGTTGGTATCTTCTCCTTTATGGAATTTAGGGATGTAAATTTTCACGTATTTTCATAGTTTTGTCTCTCCTATTTACTAGTTTTGAAGTATGTGGGTTTTGTGAATTGTAGGATGGTTCTAGTAGGAAGTGGTTTTGAGAAAGAGTAAGTTTTTAAATTCAAAACAGAGATTAAAACATAGTTTTTATTTTTATTCCTTGAATAGAATGTGATAAATTTTTCACATGTGAGCCCAGCAAAGCCCAGCTTTGTTTCTCCTTCTCTTTTTCTCCTCTGATAAACTGTTAGTGAAAAAATAGACTTTTCCTTAGCTAGGTGCTTTTCAGAGCTTCGGCATCACCCGTTGGTGCATCTAGTTGGCTAACTCAGGTCCAACAACTGCAGCTCTCTTCCTGTCTCGCTCCTTTGGTTGCTTTTGCTTCTTTTATTGCAAGGTTTGGTGTTCTTGCAATAGACTCCTGTGTTTACTTGTTTCCATTCTCTTGAACTGAAATGTTTTATATTCTGATCTAGTCAGTGAAACTTAAGAGGGTATTGTCCTTGACGAATAGCTGAGTCTTGTGAAGTCTGTGTGGTGCATTTTCCAGATCTCATTTTGTACTTCTTTCCAAACAAAATTCTGGTTCTGCTCATTTTGTTTCTTTCCAGGAAGAACTGCAATTATTGAGCTTTTCAGAGACATAATAACAGAAGTGGTGCCACTCCCTGGCATTTCCAAGATGTTTCTTTGTGCACAGGGTATTTAGTTAGTCTTCAGCTGTGGCATACGAAAAACTTGTAATCAATCCATTAGCAAGTCATTATGGTCTGAAAGTAGTAATACACGCAGTGCATTTAATCTCATGTACTTGCAACTTTTCCCTCAAAATTACATGCCCAAATAATTTTGTTGATGATCTTTCTATTCATTTGCAAATATTTGCCCATCTAAATATGCATTCTATTCTGTGTTCAAAACCAAAGCCTTTTCAATTTTGTCTTATTTGTCTTCTCAAAGTGGATTGCACTTCAGAATTAGGAGGAAAAATGC